AGAGACACCGAGGCCATGGGAGTGGTGGTGAAGCACATGGCGGACCTGAGGCTGGACTTGCAGCATCAGGTCGAATACTTTCAAGAGGATATTAGGGAGAGGACAGAGATCTTTTCTCAGGGCATCGAGGATGCCAAGAAGAAGGCCATTGAAGACTATATTGCCTCGCCACGCTTTGACGACCTGATGGTGGGCTCGTACAAAAGGGGTTTTAAACTGAGCCGGTAGATGATCAGGAATACGTACCCCGAGCTCAACATCAACGCCATAACTACTTCACGCATTACTCAGGAGATGGCCAACGCGGCTGATGGTGAACCGGATTTTGAGGATGAGGCAGGACCCTCGGGTATCGTTGACGTGCCTTCCGAGGGTGAGGACTGAGATTTGTCGGACTGCTGGATTTTTTTTTTTTGGAATGTAAATAGAGTAGTTTGTAATGAAACGTTCTTTTGATTAAGTTGTTGTCACCCTCTTTTCTCCGAACTGACTATATTGCCAAACTGACCATATGCCTCTGATGATGAGATGTCGAGGTCCTTATTGGTTTGTTGTTTTCACTTTGCCTGTCAGCTTGGTGTTAGCATTTTGCTTTTGCGTGCCCATGCCGAAGGGGTGATTAAGTCTTATGGTATCAAGGTCCTAGTTAACTCATCATTCTAGCCCTCAGGCTGTGATAGCGACTCCTAGTCCACTTCGCTTGGTAATTTATAGGTAGTATCGTCGTAAGTTAACGACGTTTCACGCTCGGGGTACTTGTTTGCCCTCTAATGTTTCGAGCTCGTATGCTCCCCCGAGCGCTCTTTATTCGGTAGGGCCCTTCCCAATTCGGTCCAAGTTTGCCCATGCCGGGCTTGGGTGCCATGATCTTACAGAGAACTAGGTTGCCGACGCGGAAGTTCCTCTTTTTTACTCTAGCATTGTAGTACCGAGCTAATCTTTGCTAGTAAGTTGCGGTCCGGATGTACACGAGGTCTCTTACCTCGTCCAGTAGGTGGAGGTTGGTACGTAGCTCGTCTCCGTTTGTCTGATCGTCATATGCTTCTAGTCGCAATGTAGGTACTTCGATCTTCGCCGGGATTACCGCTTCAGTGCCATAGGTGAGATTAAAGGGGGCCTCTCCCGTGGTGGGTTTTTTCCATAGTTCGGTGAGCCCATAGAACACTTGGTAGCTCGTCCGTCCACAACCCTTTAGCTCAGTCTAGTCGCGCTTTCA